CCATTTATCAGTTTATTCTTGTTATTATGTAATTGTGAAATTATAAATGCCGCCACCGACAGAACATGTCGAGGTTTACGGCACATATTGTCGCCACCGACAAAACATGTCGAGGTTTACGGCAAATATTGTCGCCACCATTAGAACATGTCGACATATTCTGTCGGAGGCGGCAATATGTTTTATAATTCTCGACCTTTATGAGCGCATAAAGATGTGAATATCAATTATTAATTATTTGCAAAAGAATAAATTTATCCCAATCTCTCTTTGTTTTCTATAAAGAGGTACCCATGGACTGTTTACCAATCACGGGTCAATGACAAGGCACATGGTTTACCAGTCACGGGTCACTGACAAGGCACATTCAAATGGTTTACCAGTCACGAGTCACTAAAAAGGCACATTCAAATGACCCCAGGACGGGTACATATAAGCACTTCTATCATGAAAAGAAAATCACAAGTAAGAACCGATATATATCAAATATTTTATTTGAAATCAAATATGTAGGATATATATAAATATTTATTACTACGTTAATGATAATGACTCAATAATTCTTTTTATTAAATAGCTAATAAATAGTCTCTAATAAAATACTACCAAAAATCTAGAGAATTTTAGCGTTCAATATCTTGACGTTTTATTGAACGCTGAGTTTGTATTACGTATACGAGTATGCCCGAAACATTCCGAATACGAGCGTTCAATATCGAACGCCCCGTTGTAAACAAAAGAAGTCGTCTGGTCAAAATCTCAGAGCTAAATTAAAGAAAGGAAGTGGCATTTAGGTAAGATGTGTTTATTTTTTACACAAAAATGAAATTATCAAATTATTTTGTATGTATTACACCCATTAAAACCTAAATAAGCAAATCATGACGCTCGGTAGGGTCATCGAAATGATGCGATATTCGACACTTACAGGACATGCGTTAATGAAAAATCATTAATTTGAGTTTTTTGGTTGGAATAATTATTATGCACAAAGGCTTGAACAAAATACAAAACGATACAGGCTTACAGGTTTTAACATAATGATAGGAAGAAAATAAAATATTTTAAGTTTATGCAGTATCTTATGAATATTAATGAGAAGTAAATCACGTGGTAGCAATCTCATGAATAAATTGCACACCATTCCTACATATGCGGAATACTGGCACTCGTTGACTCAAAAGCTCGTGCATTTGTACAGCCAACTTGTGCAAATATTCACCAATATAAGTTCATTAGTTCTATAACCCTATAGCATACCATGGTGAAACCTAGCAAAGACAAATGTATATAAAACCATAACTCTACAGATCTGCAGCTAAGTGAAACCGTAGACTAAATATTGTTCAACCCAAAACAGTGTGTTATAGAAAATTAGGGGAAATGGCATAAAAAATTAATGTAATAGGCTGCCATCTTGATTGTATATGAGGGCAACATATGATTTGTTGGACCTGAAGGTGAAAATGTTGCCTGAGGCCGCATTTGAATTATGCAAAAAGTTTCATAATTTGATATCTTCCGAATAACCCTGGTAATGCATGCTGATTTTTTGTCCACGAACATCTGATGGCACTATAATCTTAAAATTAAAAATATATTGAAATATTAGCAGTAAGTAAGGTACCTTGCGTATGTTCTTAAACACAGCAAATAAAGAGTGAAGCAGACACATACCTCTAAAACATCAAAGGTGGGATCAGGAGCCATGGAGGAGTGAGCATCCCATGCCGACCGGTCACATCCGTCGTGAGCTCCTTGTCATTATCAGGAAATAACGGGTAAAACCCCGTCGACAATTCAGAATTTTAAACGAGGCTGTTGAAATTTTTGTTTTGTCAACCTGTTTGTCAATAAATTATCTCGTTTTAGAAATTATTCATGTGATCTTGCGCGTCGAATCAATTGAGAAATATAAACCCCGTATGCAAGTGATAAGGGTATGTTGCCATATCAGTAAGAAAGTTGGCGATTGAAAATTAAAGCTTAAGTCATCAAGTTTATCATAAAGCTTTGTTATTAGGTAACCATTAACGTCTTTTTGTAAATAAAGGTATGTTGCCATATCAGTAAGAAAGTTGGCGATTGAAAATTAAAGTTTAAGTCATCAAGTTTATCATAAAGCTTTGTTATTAGGTAACCATTACCGTCTTTTTGTAATTAAACTATCCAAATACGTAAAAGATGTATCAGACTCTGTGCTCTCTTTCATATCAAGCTCTTTGATATATCGTGTCGCTATATGAATGAAATAACTATGGTTAATATTTCGTCGATATGTACTACATTTAGTACATGTACATGTGTTTATCTAATTGTCGAGTTGAAGGACACAGTGTTTCCTTCTTCTACTGTATGATTTTGAGTGAATCCTGCTTCGTATGAAGACATGAATAGATCTGCTAATAACGGTGCGCAATTGGTACCCATGGAAACCCCAAAAGATAGTAGAAAAATGGTCGCATGACTACATAGATATTGTCAATCGGAAACTCGGGCATCTCTTTAATATAAACTTTAGAGTACTGGTGTGTGCAATCGTTTTTTCATGCCCCCATAAACGAAGTCGTGTCCGTCCGTCTGTCTGTCTGTTTGTCCGCAAAAACTTTATCTTTGCCAATAACTTTTGACTGGGTGGGACTATGGCTTTCATATTTTACAGATACATTTCTTATGACAAGACCTTTCTTTGGGTACCACCAAATATGACCTATTGACCTTGAAGTTTGACACACTTTTACACAAAAATTCCAAACTTTAACCTTGGTCATAACTTTTAAACGGTAAGGGTTAGGGCTTTCAAACTTCACATATGTAATTGACAAGGCCTTTTATTACATGCCAACAAAGTTGACCTTGACCTTGGAGATTGACCTACTTTAAAAAAAACTTTTACCTTGGTCATAACTTTTGAACAGTTAGGGCTAGGGCTTTCATTTTTCACATATGTAATTCAGGTTAAAAGACCTCTCATTGGATACCAACAACCTTGACTTTTTGACCTTGACCTTGGTGATTGACCTACTTTTAAAAAACTTTTACCATGGCCGTAACTTCAGAACGGTAAGGACTGGGGCTTTCATACTTCACGTATGTAATCCTTGTGACAAGACTTCTCATTGGATAATAACACCCTTGAATTTTTTACCTTGACTTTGGAGATTGACCTACTTTAAAAAGAAATTAACCTTGGCAATAACTTAAGAACGGTAAGGCTAGGGCTTTCATTTTTCTCATATATAATCTTTGTGACAAGACTTTTCATTAAATACCAACAATTTTGTTACTTTGACCTTGACCCTGGAGTCTGACCTACTTTTAAAAAACTTTAACCTTGGCAATTAATTTTTGAACGGTAAGGGCTACAGCTTTCTTGCTTTCCATATGTAATCTTTGTGACAAGGCCTTTCTTTAGAAACTATTGACTTTTACCCTTTGACCTTGACCCTGGAGTTTGACCAACCTTTGAAAAACGTTAACTTTAAATTGGCATTAACTTTTCAACAGGTTGTGCTAAGGTTTTATATTTCATATTTGAGTCATTTTTATTTCTTGTGAGAAAACCCTACTTTGGGTATCAGCATGTTTGATCTGCATTTGAGAAAATTTAATCTTCGCTATGTTGCCGTCAGTGTTTCACAAACACATCGTTTTTCTTTAATATTGGAAAAGCTGCTGTCAATGGTGTTAAAAAATTGTCGTGGGGAATGTTCGCATATATAGTTGAAAAGTCTTTGTAGTTTTGATGTTATATTTGGTGAAATTTTATGTTTTCAAATTTTCCAAAAGTTCTTTTGGATTTTTTAGTATTTGGATTTACATCACTTTTCGAATATATTATCGTACAATACTTTTCACCGTTCTTTCCCTGGAACCGGCTGCTATCTTATTCTATCTATGTAAAGATTTTTATGATGTTTCGGAATCCAATTGATATTAAAGTTCAAATTAATTAATTTTGGTTGTTGGGAATATTTAACAAAAAATATTCAAAAGAAAGAGAAATCCCTCCAAATATATTTTCATTTCTAATTTTTGGATGTCAACCAATGCTTGTCTGGCGTCAGAACTCGGTTTTTATACCTACTGACTTTATACAAGTTTGCTTCATTCGTTTAAACATTATGATAAGCAAAAAAGAAGGGTGAACTGTCCGATTCCTATTTGGGGGGGGGGGGGGGTTACTTTTTAATATGTTTCTCTTTTTTCAAATATTGGAATTCTTACAAGCAAAAAGAAGGGGGAATTCCAAATTGTCTTTTTGGGAGGGATACTATTTGGTATTTTTTCTCTTTTTTAATGCTTAAATTTGCCAACACGCAACCTTACCAACGAAAGTGGGAGGGGGTGAGCATCTAAATGAAAATTTACATGTAAAAGCTACAACAGAAGACTATACTCAGAATAAAGACCCCCTCCCTTTCCGCGTTCTATGGAACTGATCCTGAATTGATTAAATGTCATATTTGTTTTTAACGAATATTTGCAAATTTTTCTTCAATATATGGTTAGAAAATTAAAATGTTATAATAACTGACATTCATTAAAAAAACGGTAAACTATTTAGAAAATTTTGGGAATCTAGTATATTATACTAATGTTAGAAATAGTGATTAAACATAAAATTGCATGATTGTAAACTGCTCTATTTTCTTCGGCTTCATAGGTTTTATTTCTTTTTGCGTGATTATAATTTGTGTAAATAAATTTAATATATACCAATGCTCTCAGAATTTTTGACTGACACATCATCGCCCCGCCTCTACAATTACTATTCACAGATTTCCACTTATTATTCACACAGGCTGTAATGTATGCACACTATGCCATTAGGTATTCACACATTCTGAATATTTATTAGATTATTTTGTTAACGCTACAATCCTATTGGTCAGAAGTCAAAGAGAGTGTGCATAAATACTAAACCCACGTGGGTTTTGAGCCGATAAACAGCTGTTGATCTGACCAATCAGTTTGCTCCAAATATGGCTAGCTCTTCTACAGTCTGCTTTGTTAACCGGCAGTCGAAACGTGTGTATATGTGTGTGGTATTTTACAAGGCGTTCACACGAATCTAAGACGTTCGTTTGTGGATTGTTAACTTTTAATTGCAAGTATTTGTTTATTTGGACATTACTAGAGTATTGTCTTTGTCCATTGCACGTGTGTTATGATATATATTGAGTACGGATAGTTTCAATTGGCCAAAACATTTCTATTGTGCTATTTTAGGGGATGTAAAAATTCTATAGGGAGTTATTTTCATGGCGAGATCGATGAGTTGAAGTAAGGAATATTCGTCCGCCGTATCGGGGATGTGACCGTGTATTTTCTCAGGAATTTGTTCTTTTATGGTGTGTGAGTGTTCAATGGTTTGTCTATTTACCTGAAGTTTCAAGGAATTAGGTGACTGAAAACTCGCACACAACTCAAGATGTATCCGAACAGGCACCCGGTAAGTTTCACGTTCTCACGCGCGCCAAAAAATTATAAACATCAACAAAACCCTTGTCTATACTGGCTGCCGTGGAACTCAAAATAATTTAACAAACCTCTGTACCGTTAAAGCACGCCTCAGTGCACATTGGTATCTTTTACGAAACGGGGTCATGTGTGAATTTCTCATGTTAACACACTTGCAGACAAAAACACGTGGAGTTTGTTTCTATAAATTCTATTATGTTGCAGGCTCCACATCAACCAAGCCAGCCTTTTAAGTTCACAGTAGCAGAGTCATGCGATCGAATCAAAGAAGAATTCAGTTTTCTGCAAGCACAATATCACACGTAAGATGTGCTTTATTTTTTTTCTTCGCAGTTCCTGATAAAGTTTATAAATTTCCTCGGTTCAAATTTCATTGAATAAATGAATGCAATTATCATATATTGATGAATATTTATTGAATTAAAAAAAGAAATGGTGAACAGTGTTTTGAATAATGAGATTGATTTTCTCCCTTTTTTCCTTCTCCACAGTTTAAAAATGGAGTGTGAAAAATTAGCCCAAGAGAAAACAGAAATGCAAAGACACTACGTCATGGTGAGTGAAGATCATTTCAAGCGTGACCAAATGTAATGAACGTATTTACCTGTGATCAACAAGCATGTAATTTACACACACAGGTAACCTGTAGTACGCAAAAGTGGAATGCCATTTACAAGTTATGTTATCACTTACTTTGAAATTAGAGAATACAGAGGAACATTTATTACACGTGTTATCCTCATGGCATAAAAAAACAAATTCACAGTTTACCTGAAGAAGGGGATTTTCAAATTGTTTACTTGTAGAGAACATTTCAAATTAAAAGCATTTCGATTGTTTGTTAAAAAAATCACTGAATTTGACGATCCGTGCACCCATCTGAACACAATGGCATAATTACCATACATGTGAAGAGCCCTCATTCTAAGTGTAATTCTAGAACTTGTCGCGTTATTTAAAAGTCTACAAGTTCTTATAGATGTTGTAAGCCGAAGTATTTTGTTAATTGATTTTAAAACCTTGCTGCTTGATACACCGTATACTTATTTTTCCGCAGTGACTAGGTCATAAAATAATTGACAATTTTTTTTCCCCAAGTCTGTATGTTTTTGTCAAGTCCTCTCCTTGAACTTTTCACTGATTGGTCACTATATTCCCTCCAGAATTTTTATTCAGTCTAGTGTAAGCATGGTGTAATTAGGTTGGACATAAGTTTTGATCTTTATCACTAATATCAACCCAGTCTCTAATTAACATAATGGACAGACAGGTTATTAATCAGTTGTTATGTAACTGGGTGTCAAAATAACCACAGGATTCCAAAGGGGATGTACTTTTTCAGTCAGGCATGACTGCACTGAATTATCCTCCCCTTTCCTGAGGAAAGCAAGCATGTAATGTGATTGTAAGTAATAGTGGGGCCAGATAGAAATTTCACCTGCCTGCCACCTTCAGATGTTTATTTATACCTTTGATAAACCCAAGAGCAGTGGGCGTCCAAGAACCCAATATGCGAGATTAGATATGCTAATTGTGTTCAAAGCTGCCAAATTAATGTGCACATTTTTACTGCCATTAGCTAATAAAAAATGAACTATATAAATTTTTTATTTAAAATATTTTCTTGATGAAGCAGATTTTTTTACTTTGTTAGAAGGCTGATTAACAATATGCTTTTGTTTCTTTGTTTTCAGTACTATGAGATGTCCTATGGTCTCAATGTTGAAATGCACAAACAGGTGAGTGTTTTATATCTTCTTGACCCTTGACCTAAAATTTCTCCAGCTAGGGTGTGAAGTCTTCTTCAAGGGGAGACAATTTTGTTAATCAATCATGTGTCATGCCTAACTACTGTGTCACGTAAATTATCACTGTTTATCAAACTCACCACAAGAATTACCCTCATGTGCAGGTGTTACATCAAACATAGACGTAGAGAGCTTGTTGGAAAGATAAACAGAAAATAGAAAATATTAAGCAGAGGTTTTTAGTAGAAACCAGAATTATTTTTAAGGACGGGATGCATCATTGTCACATTACCATATGACCACAAAGCAAGGTATAAATTGACTCATAAGGGAAGCTTGTATCTTGTATTTAAGTGACACATTGAAGTGATAAATAATAAATTATCTAGCCAACTTGTCAAAACATCTTTATAGCAACCATTACTGAATGGACAGGGAAGCTTAAGGGCCAAACTTTTAAAAAAAAATTATGCCCCAACTGTACATCTCTGACAAACAGAAAATCCTATCCTGTTATAAGTCTGCTGATACACTGAAAGCATAACATCCTATTTGCTTTTCTGGAACTAATGCTTTAGGACATTGCTTGCTATAAGAAGTGCCCGGTGTTTGTGGTAATGATTGACAGCAGGTGCCCTGTCTTGTAAGCCTGTTTGACTTGGCTAGCTTGGTAGACACTACATGTTCATTCAGTAGAGTAAATGCTAACCCAGTCTGATTGGTATGATGGGAGATGTTTAGTAAACAATTCACTGTTGAACTCTGTAATGAGTGGGTTTGGCCATGCTTGTGGCCAAGTGCCAGTTGTGTGAGGGGCCATCTCATGTAATTTATACAAATATATCTTAGTGATCAGAGTGATATTTTTCCTCAAGTTTTGCCTTTGACTTTCAAATTCCAGCAATGAATCACTGGTTGATACCTTACATATGTATAGGGAACCAAATTTCAGTGTACTTGGGAGAGAATTTGAGATCAACTTTTTATGGGTACCAGTCAGGAAGACATTTCACATTCTGTAAGGGGGTTTGTTGAGGTGCTATACTGCTGGAGATGTGTGAATATTTGACAATCTCAGTCTTCACAGGCAATTAGTTGACAAATGAAAGAAAACTCTCTCTCTTCTTGGTCTTCAAGACTCTGCATAAAAATCAATTTTGTTTTGGTTAATTTAACTGTTATTAGTCTTGAAATGGGTGTTTCTCTTCTGTATCTATGGAAACAGTCAATTTTTCAGCAGTTTTTTTTTGGGGGGGGTGGGGGGGTTAATTTTTAACATATATTTTTGCAATGGCATTGACCTTCCATGATAAATGTCAAAGGCTCCTAAGGTCTTAACCCTTATAGTTGTCAATTAAACACTGTAGACTCTGTTGTGTAAATTTAAAATGTGTCTCTATTGTGTAAATTAAAATTTATTTGTTGCAATGAACCTTGGAGGTATAGTATTAAATAGTATAATTGATAATTTTCTGTGATATGAGCTATAATTGATAATGAAAAATTTGCACAAAAAATTAAGTTTATCTTTAAATTAAATCAATTGAAAAGAGATGTGTTGATCTAGGCAGTTTCAAAGGGCATACAGTGAGCACTTTTTGGCAGATCCTAGGGTACAGCGTGGAAACACTGATATAGCCCTGAATAAAAGTCTGTCAATCGGAACCAGACAGATATTGAATTATCAAAGGAATGCAAAACAAGGTTTACTTTTTTTGTTTTGTTTTGGTCAATAGCTTTATTTAATGAAACTATAATGGGGAATCGATAATAGTTTATTGCTAATATCTGATGAAGCCTTTTTCTAATATCAACTTGGTATTGTTGACTTGTTTCATATGCAAACACTTGAGATGTTGGAACATGTGAGGGGAGCCGATCAATAGGGAATGGAAAACAATCCTAAAGCTTCATGACGGCCCATAAAGTTTGAGGCTGTGACTGTTTACTCAGTCAATATTTACTTAAGGCCTAAAAACCTATTCAAAAATTGTAACCAGCCTTGTGTGATATTGTCCCATTCAAAAATGTTCATTCCTTCAAAGTGCCCGAAATAAAAGCCTTGTAAAAAAAGGGGGAAGACCTTTAGCTGAGAAATGATTTATTGAAATTGCTCAAACTCATTAGACGGAGCAAATTTGCTGATCAGGATGGAAAAAAAAATCCTAATGGAAACTTGTCTTGTTCAGCACACCTTGAGAGAAATTATCATGTGTATCGACGTGCATCACCAACCATTTGTGAAATACCCAGGTGATTTGACACATAGCATTTAATAATATTATCACATACAGTAGACCAGATGAATGGCCATGATAAGAATTCATAAAACATTCAGAGGGGTGAACACAAGGCTCATAAAACAGGATTAAAAATGACAATTTGACTAAAATTGATTTTTTTCCCAACATTAGAATAGCAGTTTATTATAGCGTTTTCTGTACATTTAATCAAAGCTAGGCTGTGATTATTTGAATTTTAAAAAATGAAATATTGAATTTAGAGGATATGTTGCCCAGACGTGCTTTCCATTTTGTATTGTCTAATGCCATGTGTGACTTGAAGCTTGAGATGTAACAGCTGAAATTCCATCCTCAGCATCCTACCCCAGTACCCCCAACAAAAAAACCCCACACCAGTAATCTAAGATTAAAACACCTCAGTCTGTAGATTTGATGAAGTCTTCATATAGCGTGCAATATATGTTCTACCTGGTTGAGAGATCTTATTGGTTCTCGATTACCTTTGATTGACAAAGTGGGCGGAGCTTGACTGAAATAGATAACCAGCATTTAGTACAGTACAATTTCATCATTGTAAAAGATTTTTAGTGGAGCATTCTTCTGTAAAATAAAAAAATAGATACTTTAAAAGGGTTCGAAGATCTGCTTATATTGAACTGAAAACCAATACTATTTATTTAGTATTAGACATTTAGCTTGTGCATATGAAAGGCAATGCTGCAGGAATGCACAGGGGCACTGTTTAAGAAGGAGGTTTCATTTGAAATAGTGCTTTCTGTAAAACATCTGTTATTTGGTGTGGCTGATTGGTTTCCAGCACAAGATTTTCTTTGTCAATCCAAAGATTATAAGCATGTGTTTTAAAATATAATCAGAGGGAAAATATCCCAACCCTTTCATCATAAATGATTAGCAACCCAATACAACTGAACAAGCCCAGTAAGTCAAGCATTTTCACAGCACCATGCACAACCACAATTTTAAACAAATTGCTTTGCAACAGATGGTAGATATTGGAACAAATTAGTGTACATTACTTTACATTGGGAATTCAAGTCCTTTGGAGTGTCCTTTGTTAATACAATGAGAAGAATTTCTATGTCTGGAAATAAGAAACGGTACATGAATATTGACAGATTTTTTGCTTGACAGAGAGCCTGATCATTGCTTTGATTTAGTTAGGAAGAATATTGGACACTATCTGCATAACAAAGACATATGTTTTATGCATCAAAGATTTGAAAGGCTCATATAGAGCAGGATATTGGGAATAATTATGTTTCAGTCCTATAATTGTAGCTCATCAGAATTCATCTTCGCTCCTCCAAAGCCACAGTTTGAATAATAATTATGTATTGTGTAGACACTAGAAAAAAATTCAAAAAAATATATCCTCCATACAAACAAAGAGACTTCACACCTGAATGAGCAGACATTAAACAAGAGACATCAAAAAGGTGTCAACATACTTGTAAAAATTTGATAACAGCAAGACATGCGATCACATGACTTAGTCTCATGTGACATAAACATCTACTATTGTAACACATTCCAAATTTCATGTTGACATTTGTGATATGGGTGACTTTTTGGTTGTAATCTTGTCTGTTTGACTGTAATAAGTTCAGGAGGCGTTAGGAACAGCTGCCAGTCATTAAGATGATGGAAAAGATACAATCCGCAATGTTTAAACATAATGTTTATTAAATCATTTATTGATTGCTACAAAAATACTAAGAAAAGAATGATGTGAAAAGCTGATAAGTCATGATTGGTACAATAAACTCTAAATACTTGTAAATTAATGTTAATGTATTTTTTAAGAGTTCTGTTTTAAATTTCATTTGCACATTATATTATTAGTATTTTTCCATTTTTTTCCAGACTGAAATTGCCAAGCGATTGAATGCAATATGTGCTCAAGTCATTCCATTTCTCTCTCAGGAGGTAAGTTTTATTAGCAATTCAGTTTCATTAAGCTAATTGCTTCAGCATATTTCAAACCAAATGCCACATAAGAAGTTATTTGGATCGCATTGATGTGGTATTTATTTTTTTATGTTTTAGCATCAACAACAGGTTGCGGCAGCGGTGGAGCGTGCAAAACAGGTCACTATGACAGAACTCAACCAAATCATTGGGGTGGGTAAAACTAGAAATGGCATGTTCTTCTTATTCGATTTAAATGCTGTATGAATACATGTATGTAATTGATATCTTGTGTGAGAGAAATGATGATCATTTGATTATTGGTCGTGGTAAACTTGGCATTTTACAACAAATGTAAGAGTTTGATATCAATTAACAGCATTGCCAGATGAATCAGAGTTAAGTCTTTCAGCGTGTATATGTATGTTTAGGACTGAAAAGTGAAAAGCAATCTGTGAACTGTGGAACCCAGTACATGTTTCATAGTACAATTTAGAGTCTGAAATACAATGTACCCATTTTGTACTGGATAAATACATCAACAATCATTTAACTATTTGAAGATCTAAATGTACTTTGTGTTTTTTCATCCTCAAAACAAAATTTATTAGAATGTAAGTTAATCTGATAAAAGAAAACATAAAATATCTTTTGTAACTAATCTGAGATTTGTCACATACTAATGACAAAGCCCACTTCCTTCTAGCAACAGATGCAGGCAGGCCAACATTTAGCAGGTCACGGCCACGGAGCCCCACCATTCCCAATGCCACCTCACCCCCCGGGGCTTCAACCCCCACTCCCCGTCTCCAGTGCTGCTAGTCTTTTGGCCCTCCAGGGCAGTGGTCTTGGACCCTCACATCTCCTCCAAAAAGAGGACAAAGGTAAATTTAAAAGTGGTGATGCATGAAAAATGGTACATGTAGCACTTGATCTGCATATGGAAGACCTTAGAGGTATATCCTTGTTGCAGGAGATAATTAGTATAATGTCGGATCCCTGTCATGTCATAGATTACCAGTTAATGGTATTTCAGACCAGAAGAGGACATAAAAAAGTAAAAAAAAATTATTATCAGAGTTGAATTTTTGCAATTTTTTTTATTTATCAAGGAAGAAAGATTTCATACAAAAAATTCTTGATTGAAATTTAAAAACGTTAACTTAATATACAGAATAAGGTAATGAACTTTAGGGATGTTGTAGGAGAAAAAAAAACCCAAGCCTATGAATTTTTTGTATTGGTATTTAAGCGACAATGAAGGCAATATTTATGATTGGCAAGTTGAACCATGGCACTTAAAAGAAGGGAAAAAATCATTGGAAAATGCAAGCCATAAATTGTATTATTTGGCTCAAGAGATCAATGAAAGAGATGTATATGTCCTGTAAGGCCTGTTAGATGGAACTAAAATCACCTCATTCATATGACTCAAAACCATGTTATTTTCCACAGATCTGGCTTTAGATTAAGGAATATTGTATTGCATGCAATTTTGTTTGATGATCTCTTCTTGGGGTTGGGAGAAAATACTTCAAGATAAGAGGATTTGGTGTCAAAACCCTGGGAGAAATTTGAATTTATAAAGTGAGAACAGGCCATTATTTGATTTATGTCGCCATCATCCGGACTCCATGCATTTTCAAAGAAAATTGACAGCTTTCCTTCAGTAAATATGCATTAAAATACCCTGGGGTCAAAGTAATTGTTGTGTTTTTGTGATAATTAAAGAATTTCTATGGCTTTCAGGCAGAATTAAATATTTATCTGCTATTGATTTTGTTTCCCTATCATTACGACTCAAATTAACTAAATCATTCACGTTGACTCTTTTTGATCGCAGTAGGGGGAAATAGGCAGTGATTGTTCGATGAACCTATGTCATGGTCCACCAGATTGCACTGCACGTATTCTGGGTCCAAAATTTTTCCCCACAGCAGATTGCTGCCGCCAGTACATGCATAAGGGCTATTTGCAGAACATATTCCTTCATCTCAGTCTTGATATTACTTGATAACTTGCAAAGAAAGAAATTAAAGTCAAAGTTACATGAGCATTTTTTTTTTTTGGTTGTTTAAATCGTTTTTGTAAAATTCTGCATGAATTTATCTTTAGAATGAAATGGTGTGATCAGGATGATGGGCTATAATGACATTGTCAGAGTCAATATCGTTTTAGCCCAGACCATGCAGCGTTTGGTATTGATTATGTCTAGGCGATCAATGATGGTATTTGTGATGATTAATTTGAGTAAATAGGTGAGATGTTTATCTAATTCATGCTTTTTTTTGTATTGTAGAAGACAAACACAACGTAAGTATTCGGTTTTTTGTCGCTTTCTCTGTTTGCTCTATTCAATGACTATACAGAACGTCATCAAAGAAAATCCTAGAGTTTTCATTTTCTATCAGTTGTGGATATAAAAGAGTCTTAATCATGAAAATGTTGATTGATTAATTAATAAATTTATGGTTTCTGGAGTTGACCCAAAGATCTGACACTGAATTGACTTCTTTTTGATGGAGATGTGTTAGAGGCGATTTAATTTAGTGTGGTAATCAGATTAAAGAAAAGCTGTTACTAATTCCTTAATCAGATGTGTTACAGGGTTCTGAAACAGGATTAGTTCATTAATCTTTTGATATCTCTGATAAGAGGTTAGGAATTATGATTTTTAATTATCAGAATTAAGAATTAATGAGTTTTTTGCATATTACAAGTACGAACATGGTAGATTTCTAGACTGTATTTTTTAATGAACTTTACTATCTTATAACCATGAAAGCTTTCACACTGATGTAATAATATATTTTTTTCCTTTAAAAATGATATTTTTAGTACAAGTCAATTATAAATGAAGAAGACAGACTAGAATCCGTAGGGTGAAACTCATATAAAACCTCTAAATATTAGCCATCAAGTTTCATATTTGGCATCACCTTATTTTTTCATCACACTGTGAAATGAGATCACTAGGGACCGCTGGATGATCCGTATTGGAAAATTAGTTTCACAGCTACTTAGAAAATATTGCTTTCTCAGCCGCTTAAGGGATTTGAGAGCTGAATTGAAGTGTGATTATAGATTTTATTCCCATTGTCACACAGGGAGAGAATTTCTCTCTGTTATAAGGAATTTGTAGAGGTAGTAAGAGGATGCATGTATTCTTTTTTCACAAATCTGAAAATGAAATTATTTTTTTTTAAAATTAATTTCGATCATGATAATTTTTTGGTCTTCATTGTTTCTATAAAGTGAAATAAAACAATACATGTAGTAATGTACAGGTTGGATCAAAGAAGGAATACATTTAATTATAAAAATTGAAATATCTTTTTTTTTCTGAGAGATTGAACCTCAGCGTAAATCTGAGATATTACTATAATGCTGATCCCTTCCCCAGAGAAATTTTCTCCATATTTGGTCAAGGGATTAGGCCTCCTTTCTTAAATAGGTTTTTATTTGACTAAGCACTTCTGCTAACAGATTTTACAGCTTATCATGTGGCTAAGTACACCCCTAAAAAGTGGTACAATATTTACTTGTTTTTGGGCTTGTGTCAGCAGGGTTAAAGCTTATTATGGGTAAGCTGATCACATACCACGCTTCACTGGACGTCAATGCCTTAATGTAGGCAGTCAACCGTGATCTATCCAAAGCCAATGAAATCGAAAATGCGCAAATGTCCAGTCAGTAATCAACATTTCTTCATCCAAGAAAAAAGTACAACAGATGAGTTCCTTTTAGCTGATGTGATTTTTTGCCATAAATGGGAAATATTATTTACTGTGACATATGTTTATTAAGAGTCAAGCTTGAGCACTAGTATGATTAATGTAAATAAAGGCAAAAGGTCCCATTTTCAGGACCGCCATCAAATCAGACAGTACACAGCTTAATAAATAAATATCGGAAAAAAAATTCAAAAGAAAGTTTATGATGTGAGAAATGTAAATTTGCTTAGTTCTATATGCCTTGATAGAATATTAGCTACTTGTTGAAGTTACGCACAGACTGTATTGACTTAAGATGATAGTTAGTGTTTGCTTTGGTCTTATGACTGATTATTGGCACACACTGCCATGTTTCAGTGGGGGCACTGAGTAAATATTCAGCACCCCAAATTATATATTTGTTATTTTCCCTTCTTTCTGTTGACGGACTGAGATGATAAAACATTCCTAACTAGTGGTGTTTGGAAATAAAGCCAGATCTCTAGAAATTGACTGAATCGGTCCAAACTTCTTGTGTACCTTTAGCTTGTGTACATTGCACAAATGGATTGCTTTAGGTTTCAAACAAACCCATGTTGACACAGGCTGTGTTTATCTGGCCAAGCTATTTTGAAATTATTGAAGTCTTGTGGAAATAGGGATATACAAAGGTTACAGTTGTTTAATGAGTTTTGACATCCAAGTTTTTATTTTCCAACTAAATTGATCTTTATTCAGCCACCCCCTCTGTTAGATTTATAAAGAAACATTGTATACTAGTAGCTGTTCAAAAGGTTTCAATTTGTCCAAAGTTTTGGTGAAAAAGAAGAGATGATTGAAGTTTGTTGTTATTTGGCCGGGACTACAGGATGTTTTCTCCCTGGGTGTTTACTGTGCTGTATTTGGTTGTCTTAGTCTTGTTTACACTTCTTTTACAAGCCTAATATCAAACAATTAACAATTCAATGGGTTCTAGTCTTACATGCTTCGTTTTAACAGTTAAACATTAATGTCAATGTTTCCTCGAGATCTCAAATTTATCAACTTCACTAAATTCCTGTGTCAACAAGGTTGTCCACATATTTGCACAGGAAAATTGATATTCCTTGCAGGGAAACTTCTATATGTTACCAAAATACACCTTGTCTGTGCAGGAAGATTGGTAAACTGTGTAAAAAATACAATATGGGAATGAGATTCATCAAATTAAGATCCGTTTAATCCCATTTAAATTTATTTTTGTCATGGTTCTGATACACAGTTCGCATTGGTAACCTTTTATCTTTGCTGAGTAGAGCCCCATGTAAATATATGTGTACCTGTGGGGGAAATAAAAGAGAAAAGACTTCTCTAACAGATTATAGACATTGATTCAAAAGGTTGCAAGCTTTCATTTTCCAAATATTTGCTGAAATAAGACCTGCAAGGTGCAATTAAATATCTTATAAACCTTCGTCTAATCTTAATCAGATGTAAATCGGTACATTTTTTTATTACTCAAGTTAACATTGTAGTATCGTGGGGGTTTATGATAGGTCTACTGGACCATCAAATGGGGGGAGGCCAATTCTGGAGGAAGATTGGAAAGATCTAGTCACTTGTCAGAAAAAATACTTCTTTCTCCAGACTGAGATTAGATTTACACTGCATGAACGAGTTAGTCCTGGTCTGATTACTCTGATAGGCTATAAGCCAGATTTTATGATCTGCTGTAATTCGTAATTTTATTAAGGATCTCAATTTTTTGGCAAGGCAGTATAAAAATACCCAGTGAAGAATTTGATCCAATGTAACTGGACATTAACTCCAGGTAATCCATAAATCTGAACAAAAGATACTAAGTCTTCATGGGATCAAAAGAAGATTGGTCCATTTTCTACTGAGACCACTCCCCCCTGAGGTAGATTGATTGGTCTTAAGTGTATAATAAAAGGTAGGTAATATATACCCCCTTCAAGGTTCGTATTAGGAGGAAATAATTCATCAAATACTACACAGGGACTTGGAGAATAGACAATCGGTGTTAAAATGTGAGAAAATTAGGAGAGAGGCTTTAGGACTCACTATCCATTTTTCTTTCCACATTTGATTGTGTTCTGTGTAGGGGTTCAGGGGGAAGGTGGCAGGGATTAGATTCTGCCTGGGAAATCCCATTTAAGCAGTTTAAATTTAATCTACTGAATTAATCTTTTCGATGCAAGCGATTGTAAATGCATCTAATGCTGATCATTTTCCATGGGGAGAAAAATTTATACATTGGTGACAAAACTGAGTCAATATAATTAACGTTTTTGGGATAATATTTTCAATTTTAAATGTCAGATTTTGAGTTCCCAAAAGAGCTGGTAAATCTATAGTAAACATATCAGGAGACATATAATTTATATTTGAATCATAAAATGTTCCTATAGATGACAAACTGAAGATACCATCCAATCATTGAACTTAAAATACATATGAAAAACTAATTATGTTAAATTGTATATTCAACCTTGCCTTCATTGATGAAAAAAGGATAAAGAATTATTCAAAGGTTTTAGTTTTCTTTATGATTATAAAAGTATTTGATTTATTGATTGTACGTTTTGATAACTAAAAGATATCTTTTTGTCAAGGAAACTTTGTAAAATTCTTGAAGGCATTTTGGTTTTCAAATTCCTGTTTGACATAGCAGCAAAACTCTTACAAAAAATACACCCTCTCCATGATGTCAGACACCTGCGAGAAATTTTTCAATTATTCACAAAAATTACTGCCATATGTTTTAGAAGAGTAAATAATCTGTCTATATCTTATCATTTTGTACTTGACTTATAGTAGACTGTACATATTTGTCAAATCTTTAAGGGGGGCATATTGACCTTGGAATAGAATTGTGTGTAAACACCATTTCTTAGCAAAGGACAAGGGCCCTGCTGGACAAATACATATGGAGTATTTGAACACAGAGTCATAAAAACGCTTGACAAGCACTTCAGAGTAGTTCAGTTTATAATATTTGTTATTGTATTACAAGAGTCTTGGTGATAAAGAAGTACCGTCCTTTGTCTCCCACACAGGGTTTGGGAAAGCTCATAGATTAAAGCTTCCATGGTTATATTTTAGGGCCAGGAAATTATCTTTATGTCGATTTAAAAAAGCATTATTGCTATTTATAAAACAGAGTAAACAAGTAAAAGGAAGTTTTCAGTGTCTCTGATGTTTACACTTTATGCAATCGTAGGCTCCTGCACCTAAATGCATTGTTGTTTAACACTTCAATCAAATAAACATTTCTTTATTTGAGGATTAAGTATGTCAATACTAGTATTGCTTGCAAAAACATGCCCACATTTTGGTATCAGTGGTGGCATGCCTTTGTAACTTAAATATTGCATGTATTAGAAGTAATGGAAGTTCAAAACTGTATTTTTTTTTGTTTAAACATATTTTTTATGTAAAATAAATTATTGAATTAGCCAAAAGTTAGTTTCTCCATCTGATTTTTGTGTTAGAGATTAAATATAGGAATAAATTCTAAAACAGATACTGAAAGGAGAAAAAATATAGGTGTATTTGTAATGGGGCACCATGTGAAATACATTTTTTTATTATCCAAATTCTGTTAATAAATGTTCATTGAATGTAAGGCATTACACAGGTTTTATTTACTTTTAGAGATCATCTGCCTCCCCCAGTGAAAGGGAAAGAGAGAGGGAAAAGTTTGAACATAAATTTAGTGAGAAGTATAGTAGTCGGAGTAGGACCCCAGAAGTGAACGAGTCCAAAAAGAGGAGAGTGGAGGAGAAAGAAAGGGTAAGTATTAAAAAAGTAGCATAAAAACACAAGCAAATTCACAAACTTCTAATGGAGATGGATAGAGGTTTTGCCCTGATATCTTAAGATTGTATATATCATCAATGTTCCAAACACCAAAAAGAATTTCAAATGAGAATAACTGTGATGGATGTGTAGAATTCTTCAAATATAGAGGTAGTGTGCATAAAGTGCTCTGAATAACGGATGTGGAGCTATATGTAACAAGAATAAGATAACCACCAAATGCTAAATGGGTTTTAAGTATAATTTCCTGTTGAACATGAGGACCTATTTCCCTGGTACGTATGCAGGGCTCATTGATAATGAGAGGGTCTGCAACTATCACTTCATGGGCAGAACCTGTCCACATTCAAGGGGAGCTTTCCTTGCTAACTTTGGAAATTCCTGATCCATTAAAACTTTCGCATGAGACAGTAAGGAAACAAAAAATGTGGAGAGCTTTTCCTTGAATTTGAAACCACTTGACACTAATACCAAATTTCAGGAATACAATTTGGAAAAAAGAAAAATTGAAATAGAAATTATATATAAAATATAAATTGCATAATTTTTTAGTGTTAGACAATGTACAGATTATATGTAAGAAGAAAATTTCACAGGAAATAAAAATGTTTTATTTATTATTTATTTCTTTTTATTATTTTGAAGGACAGTGAAGGTGAAAAGTCTGATCAGGAGTTGGTGGTTGATGTTGGAGAGGTAAAAAAAGTCTGAATCATTAAAAAAAAAAGTTAGTAGGATTCCAGGAAATTATACTACATGTACAATGAAAGTGTCCCTCAGAAAAAATTCAACCTGAGTTATCTAAAAATTGAAGATGATGGTAAAATAAAAAAAAAACAAGGGCTTGTCTTATTGAATGCTCTGTAAACAAAAGCTCTTTTAGATCCACCACTTGTTATTTCATGATGAAAGAGTGTCAAGATTACAGCAACAAATTACAAGGAAGAAAATGTGCACTATCATGTTTAGGGGGAACACAGATTAGACTTAGTATGCAGCTGTTCTTTGTCGAATGTCGATAACTTCCGATGTTCAAGTAGCCTCTTCATTCTTGGATTGGTTTGAACCCCTCTCTTGTTGCCAGTTCAGGGATATCCGCACTGTTTGTAAAATTGGACAAGATGATTACGCTTTCTGACATCTTATCATAGGTTTTCAGGCCTCGCAACCCTTTTTTGCTGAGGTTCAGGCTTTGATCAATTATAGATAATGCATCCGTTGGAGGCAATTAGAATAAAAAAGTATAAAGTAATAAGGTTAGAAAAAAGAATCATGTCATTATATAAAAACTTTTTATCTAAGTATACGTGTAGAAAAATGAGAGTATCTGCTTTGATCTGCACATACTTTTTATGATTGACACAAAAAATTTAATTTGTAACTGTATTATCTTGGAGGAGGTAGAGTTAGATGATACCAGCCATTGTAAATCTTAGATCTGGTTAGGTTTTCTATCCATGTTGACACAAGCTCTCTCATTTTTAGGACAGTGCACCCATGAATGGGGATCTTTCTCCCAGGGAAAAGGCAAAAGATTTAGCCAGTAAGAAGTCATCAGAAGATCGAATCAGTCCCAGGAGTGACGCTTCATCACATGGCAGTTCAACCTCTACAAAACACAGAGATGTAAAGGACTTTGTTTCTTCACTAATTACTTACACTGCCGTGGGCAATAATTGTAGGACTGAAAGTGATCTAGCATGGAAATCTTAATGTCATTTTCTGTGTTTAATTTATGGCACTAAGGGATAAAATATACTGATTGATTCTCTCTCATATTCTAACACAGTTGATTGCAGCAGAACACGACATAGCTCTTTAATTATTGATTTGATTACATGTGATAGATGGATTTGTGTAAAATGATTACATTTCTATGTGTGTTTTTTTTTTTATTCCAGTCAATTCCTAATGAAAAAGCTTCTACCCCTGTATCAAAGCCAGCAACCCCCACAAGTTCAGGGAACACCACCCCGGGGCCATCCAGTGGGAGTGGCGGGGCAATCAAGCCAGGTGTGAAGTACCCCCTGGCAGGTGAGTGGGAGAGCGCCCCCTGGAGACAAGTTTGTTGATTGATACTAATGCCACCTGTCACTTCCTGTTTTGTTTGGTGATGGTGCACTTTGATAGACATCTTGAACTGTTAAAAGGGGAAATCCCATGAAACATTGAACTTACAGAGATAAATTCCTTCACTATATAACTGCCTCTCAAATGCATAATTTGTTCATTTATGAAATAATTTCAATAAGAGATACTTGAAAAAAAGTCACTCTGCTCTCAGTATTGCTTAACAGTTAAGGTCCACCAAAATATGGCACTCTTGTATAACAAAATAGGAAACCTTGAGAAAATTTCAAATATTTTTGGTGACAGGTTCCCCTTTTTACACAGAAACAGATAGGGGTTTGGAGTGTATAATTATCTAATAGAATGAGTGCATACTTAGATGAATGCAAACTAGGGCATTTAATTAGAAAATAAGTAGGGACTCTTAAGTTTACAGTGATCCTCTCTTTAGCAGAAGTGCCTTGTATGTAGGGATAAAAATAAAACCACAGTGAGAAGTTTCTTCATGATGTCTTGCTCATGTATAACAAAATAGCATGTTTGATAGGGAAGTACACAGACACAGGACTGTTATAAATGGCCTAAGCAGTACTTCCTCCACAGTGAATTGTTTTATTCATCATCTCAAGGGTCTTTTGAATGACTGAAATTTGTTCACAAGTGGGCAAGCCATTGAAGATATAAGTGAGAGAATGAAGTTGTTACATCCCCAATCTTGCACAGGCATCAACAAAGTCTAGCCCAGCTCTCTCTCACTCCTCTCCAGTCTCCGATATTATCTTAATACACTCGGTGTTTAAATGTTAAAGAATTCTAACCATAAATCATCAGGCAACATAATTTTCATGTAATCTCATCAGATACTGTAATTGTTAAAAATGTTATGTAATTTAAAATAATGATTTCAACAGACAAGTAATTGAATAAAGATTTATGTTTTAGATGCTATAGTATGGATCTTTGTAACGAAGTGTACGTTATTTTTCAGGAACATATCCTCCTTTTCTGCCCCCAAATCATGGCATGCCTGCTGATATTTCAACAAGTTACAGCAATGGAATTGGGGCCCTTCATAACAATATATCACCTAACAACATTACCTTCAACCACCGAAATTTATTCCAAGGTGATCCCCATGGCAACCCCGCCCATGCAGCTCATATACGACCAGCCCTAGGAAACTCGGCAGGAGGAAAGCCGTAAGTTAACTTCAGTTTTTGCAGAAGTTGACCTTTGTCTTGGTATAAGTTGACTTAAATCTCAGCATAAGTTGACCTTAGTCTAAGCATAAGTTGACTTTAGTCTGGCCATAAATTGACCTTAGTCTTGACATGATTTGACCTTAATTAAGGTCTTGGTGTTGACCTTAGTCTTAGCATAAGTTTACCTTAATCTTGGCATAAGTTGAACTTAGTCATAGCATAAGTTGACTTTGATCTTGGCATAAATTGTCTTTGGGTTTGGCATAAGTTGACCTTAGTTTTGGCAAAAGTTTACCTTTGTCTTTGCATAGTTGACCTTAGTCATGACATTTTTTTGCTGCTTTTTTGTTGAAGATGAATTAGTTGAGGCATAAGTCAGCCTGCATAATTAATCTTCTAAGTATACAGAGATCCAAGTTCAAACACTTCATGTTTTATTTAATGAGAACAACTGTTACACTTTTTCAATTGTTTTTTGATTACAGTTCTTAAAGGAAGGAAAAGAGAATTAAGTGCATTTTAAAACATGATTAGCAATTAACTTTTTAACTGAAAATGAAATTTAAAATTTTGCACCTGTACCAAATTAATAAAGTGGATTACAGAAATAAATTTTGAGTGTCGGAGAGCATAATTTTTGATGATTTAACGATGTATAATTTTTAGTGCCTACTCGTTCCATGTGAGTGCTGATGGACAAATGCAGCCGGTGCCATTTCCACCGGATGCTCTGATTGGTCCTGGGATTCCTCGTCATGCCCGACAAATAAACACACTAAACCACGGGGAAGTTGTGTGTGCTGTTACCATAAGTAATCCTACAAGACATGTCTATACTGGTGGAAAGGTAAATTTGTCCTGAATTAGGGATAATGGTACATTATATCACAGCACACGAAGTAAATACAGCCTCTTCTTAAACCTTTTTCCTGATTATTATTTCCCGTGAAATGTGTTCTGATGAAAACATTGACAACATGAATAATCTATGTTGTTAAATAGTTGTTGACCTTTATTAAGTAAAATTTTGAGCTAAAATATTGAGCCATCCTGTACAACATTACACTAGAAATTTGGATTTCTACGTCTGATTTGGAAAATAAAATCTGTAAAACCCCTAGAATTCAGAATTTTGAAATGTGAATAATAGTAATCTGTCAAATTAATATTAGAATTATTGCCATATTCACCATAATGCCATACCAGCATTTTGTCAGAATTTTTTTCAAAAATATAAATATTTTATTAAAGTGTTAAATTAGAATGCTGCCACCAATTACTCTCCTTTTCAGAAGAAATAATTTCAGTGTGTACAATAAATATCTTTAATAATCAGTGAATCAGAATGTAAATTCAATCTTATGCTATATTCTCAATGACGCCTTATTTTCAAAATCGCACAAGACAGCATTGTCATGAAAAATTAATTGTATTCTTAAAGAAAGTATCTGAAAGTAGAATAAATTGCTTTAGAAATTGATTTTAATATGCTTTATAAAAAGATGAATAGGAAGAGATACTTTATGAATTTTAACTGAATGTAAAAAATCAGAATTTTTAAAATTTCTGTTGGAAACCAGTTATCACATGATCACTTGGTGATAAAGACACACACATGTACTATTTGTAAAAGACACTTATAATCAGATGTTTAAATTTGTTACAGGGTTGTGTAAAAGTTTGGGACATCAGTCAGCCAGGAAACAAGAGCCCTATCTCTCAGTTGGACTGTCTGGTATGTAAGAGTTAATTATCACCAAATTAACAACAGATATTAACAATAACAATGAGAAAATTAACTCACAGCTTCCTCCCTGGCTTTCTTGTTTGTTTGTCTCTACATAATATGCCAGCATACACTTCTAATTAGTCAAATCATGAAGAGTGTTAAAGTCAATTAGATTTTCTCTGGGGATTAATCTACGTGTTTCTTGGGAATATTAAAATTTCACTGTCAGAAACATTGGCATGACTAGGCAGTGGAATGTTTAGAAGTTTAAGAAAATGTGGAGTAATGACGAATCCTTGACAATATTTCCTATGCCGATTTTTTTCTGCATTTAGGTAAAGGTAAAAGATACGTAAATAAATGCAGATATCTGCGAAAAAGTAATATTTTATTTCGCAAGTCATGGTAATGAGAAAAAATTGATTTTATTCTCTTTGGTAAACAAGAGTTTATTAGCACTTATGTCAGTTAAACCGTGTTTGGTATTTATGATTCATATGATATTATTTTTATTTTTGTGCTGGTTGTGGTATTTGTTAATAATTGGATTCCATTTTTCTCATTTCTAACATGGTGTGGGATGTACAGAAAATTTGCAATTTCCGTTGTTTTATGAACAGACTCCATTTGTCTGCATGCAAAAATAGAAAAATGTCCTGTGATTATAATGTTTTTGTGACATATCCCTTTGGTGATTTACATCTTAAAAGCTGATTACATTTTTTTGTATACTTTTAGTGACTTTTAATAATAGAAAGGATCTAGAAAAAAGAACAAAAGATTTTATAAAGGCTGAAAATAAATTTCTGGGATAAAACATTCTGTACAATACATCACCGTAGTAAGGAGTACACTGTATACTGGAGACGAGAGTACTTATTGCCCTCTCTCTAGTCTTATTACAGGAACATGATTTAGTCTTTGGCATGATCATATCTATTACAAAACTCTGTAGAATTTATCATAATGGTCTGATTCTGATGGAATCTGTCTTACCTTACGTGTACTTAATTTGTACAAGTCAATGTCCTACTTAAGTCAGTCAGGATTAAGCTGGAAAAATGAGTACCTCGCAGATAACAGAAAAAAATAGGGAATTATTGATGAGAATATAGGTTATTTGGAAAGTCAGAAATATAAGTTAATAACCAGGACTATTACAAGTATAGATTTAACCGACCGGCACCAAGAAATCTATGTAATTTACTTCCATATTATTTTTGTTTAAAGAAGTGTAACAATATAGACACTTTTTAGCTGTCTAGTGGCTATTACTACCTAAGTAAAAGAATGATATGATATTCTGATGTATAATTTTACTAAAGGATTTATTTGATCCTCTTTACAGCAAAGAGACAACTACATCCGATCAATCAAGTTACTACAGGATGGGAGGACCCTAATTGTGGGAGGAGAGGCCAGCACTCTGTCTATATGGGATCTCGCAGCTGTAAGTGTTTATAGCAGCATTAACGGCAATATTTAAGTAAAGAGTTATATATAAGTTCTCTGAAGTGTTGAACCAACCTGGTCCCATCATTTCTAGGCTTTTTAAACAATAAAAATAGCTTTTAAGCTCTCTCTATAATGTATCAGTGTTGTTAGGTGCACCAAAAAGAGAACACTTTAACTATAATGTAGTTCATTGTACAAATTTTTATTTGTGCAGAGTGTATACATACATGTATTAGTGCAAGCTTTATGTATATGAGTTTTTGTCATTTTATAGTAATTCTATAAAGTGTTCAATTTGTCAATAAATTTATGTAGTGTACTATTCCTCAGTACATTGTATATGGTACCTTATTTTGTTGCTATTTAACAGTATTGGTACCTGTATAAAGTGTATATACATTAGCAAATGATACTTGTATTTAGCTTACTATACATAAGTATGTGATTCTTCAATGTATTTGGTATACTTTTCATCTGTATGTGATACTTGCTCATTTATTTAGTGTGCTATGGTTAGTACACAGTACATGTATATAGTGTATTATTTGTTAGTACACAGTACTGTACAATACTTTGGCTGTAGCTGATACTTCTTTGTTTGTCCTCAAATGACTCCACTTACTGGGAGAGTCTGTGTTGATGTAGAACCTAATGGTTGTCGACAAATGACTGCTAGGAAACCATTATAGCTTGGAATCAATCCATTGGCTTCAGGCATTTTCTGTCTGACTTTTCCTGTCTTTTCGTCAGTACAAGTGTTTGGACAATCATACTTATTCATTAGACATCATTTAGGATGCAGATTTAGCTTAATGGATGTCAAACATAGAGGCTTTCCAGTTTATGACTGAAAGGCATAAAAGTTGATTTTTTACCTCTGAAATAAAAGTAGATTAGGAATGAGGGAGAGTATGAAACATGTGGATTGGTTCAGTGTGACAGTGATTATTTCAAAAGACCATAATGATAGGCTTTGATCTGGATTACATGGTTGTCTGTGTTATTTTATAAAATAAATGGTAAAAAGGGCTGGAGGGGATGGGAAGGGAATTCTTTGTGATCAGAAAGATCTGCTACGAGGGCTTTTTGTATGTCATGATCTCTTTCACTTCCTCCTCCAAGCACTTAAATGCAAGTTATTATATAATGCTGTTTTGATGGTTGTTACCTTAGACAAAAAATGTGGTTAATGAAGCTATTTTCATTATGTAGCCCACTCCACGCATAAAGGCAGAGCTGACTTCAAGTGCTCCAGCGTGCTATGCTTTAGCAATCAGCCCCGATTCCAAAGTTTGCTTCAGCTGTTGTAGTGATGGTAACATTGCGGTTTGGGACCTCCACAACCAGACATTGGTGCGACAGTTCCAGGGACATACGGACGGTGCCAGTTGTATCGACATCTCACCTGACGGCACCAAGTTATGGACGGGTGGACTGGACAATACAGTCCGGTCATGGGATCTCAGAGAGGTACAAAAGAATTCAAATAAATGTGTAAAATGAAAGTATAAACTAACGACATTTAAAAAACAGAATATTTTGATTTGTGAATGATATAAATCATATTTTACTCTGCTACACAGACAGACAATAATATAATTTAGAAAGGAATAGAATATTTTGTCATATTTTAAAAATCAACTGTTTGGATCTAAAAAAGAAAGCAAATCTAATGGGATATATGTCATCTCCCAGGAAGTTTCTCTCTCTCCAGTTTACCAGCCCTAATCAAAATGTCAGCCATATTTTTTTCCCCACAACTTACACCAAGGTTCTGAAATTACAATTCCCTAGAAGATCCTTGCTGATACTGTTGAGTATTTACGATTGAGTGAGAGCTGTCTGTTGTCTGCAGTAGCAGAGAGTATATGATGAGTGACTACGTCCTCTGTATCAGTGTTTGGATGATGCCTTATTGATTTCTCTTTATCTCAAACCCACAGGGAAGGCAGTTAAAGCAACATGACTTCAGTTCTCAGATCTTCTCCCTTGGCTACTGTCCAACTGGCGAATGGTTAGCCGTGGGGTAAGTGTGAGCATTGCCATGTCCCCGAAATCCCAGGAAACTTGTATTAATTCATTCTATTGGTCTTTGTGGATGATTGTCTCGTTGTTATGGGAAAGCACATTTATGGATTAGCTTATTGTACCTAGTTAGTGAATTGTAAATACTATTGTCTGCTAACAAAATATTGTCAGGGCTGTTGTAATTATGTTCGTTTTGCTTTGAACTCATACTCAATTCAATTAAATAAGATAGCACTATAAAAATATATAATACAAAAATTGTAAAATTTAGATGCTAAAAACCACATGACCAATAGAACTATATAGAGTAGATACCAGAACAGTACAGGATATTTATTTCTAATTTAGAATCCAAAATAGGTAAAATATGAAATGATTACAATCATAAATAAGGAAAAGTGAGCCCATGGATAGTTTAACAATTAGTACATGATATTTCTCATTTTAATAATGATATATTATGATATCTGTTGATAAGACAAAATATATAGTGATCATTATGTAAAAGTACGAGTCTGATTTGAATTGATATATGGGTATTTTACAGGATGGAGAGTAGTAATGTGGAGGTGCTCCACTGCAGTAAGCCAGACAAATATCAGCTCCACCTCCACGAGAGCTGTGTCCTGTCCCTCAAGTTTGCCTACTGTGGCAAGTGGTTTGTCAGCACAGGCAAGGACAACCTCCTCAATGCCTGGAGGACTCCTTATGGTGCCAGCATATTCCAGGTCAGGCATTCTTCTATGGCTTAATGCTTTGTCACCAAGTTGTGAAATGGATGTCAGATTTATTTCATGACATGGCTTAATCATTTGCAAGGTTAAGTAAAAACTGTCAAGTGAAATTTCAATTTATAAATTACTTTTAATCTTTATAGTAGATTTTAAAAATAACCAAAAGGACACACTAGTGTGTCTGCATTATTTGATAGATTAAGTGCCAGATTTATATATTGTCTCTGGTTGAATTTTTGTGCTTTATGATTTTCCCTTGCACATTGGCTTATGATTTATAAATACAGAGTTCTTTGATTTTTTCCTTTCATTGTATCCAGAGATTTATTGTATTTTCCTGCTTTATTTTCCAGTCCAAAGAGTCCTCTTCAGTGCTAAGCTGTGACATTTCCACTGATGATAAATACATAGTCACTGGCTCTGGCGACAAGAAGGCAACACTGTATGAAGTCATCTTTTAATCCAGACTAGCGGGGTAAAAAAAAAAAACTGTTTACGTTTTTTGTTTTCCCTTGAAGAACTAATCCATTGTCTACTACAGAACTATTAGAATGGCAGAACAATGTGAAAAATGGCGAAATCATGTAGCGATCTTAAGAAATCCAGAAAAAAATATGCAGAGCAATCATACTATAGGATGTGTATTTATCTTCCGAATGATTTGGAAATGACTGCTGCAAAAATAAGCTGCCATCTTGGTTTATGCTTGAGTAGGATAGATTACCATGTCAAATGAAATGGATATTTGGTGCATAATTATAATTATCAAAGAGTTGGATGAGAGAAGAAGAGCGTAATGAGTTCCTGCTGGTAGGGAGAGGAGAGCGTGTTTAATTAAGCCAACCTGAGGTTGTGTGTACCAGACATTTGCAGATAGTGAAAAAAAGAACTTGGGAATTGTTGTTCAGACAAAAGCTACAGAGTTTTCTCCATGAGAATTTCTGGCATTTATTGCGTAGCGACCAAAGTGTGGTTTGAAATGTGCAAGAGGAAGGTTGCTTGTGACACGAAGTCAAGAGAAAGGATTTACTGTTAGCTTATTCTTTGGATGTGTCGGACAGATGCTTGTAATTATCTGAATTGCACAGATAAAATATACAAGTAAAACAAACATTTATCTGATGCAGATCTCAGAAGGTAGTGCTATTATACAGTGAAGAGAGAGATTTCTTGTGTATACCGTAGCAGGAAGAGAAGAGTATACGATGGCTTGTACAAATATGTGATTAGTTTTTTAAAAAATTTCTTGCCCCCCATTCGTAGTAGTCCCTGTGATTTTTCTAAATAAAAAAAAGAAAATGTGTGACAAATTTAGTATTTTTTGAAAAAGTTTATGTTAATGCATTTTTTTCTTTTGATTATGAAATACTCGTGAATGTGCTGTTGTGAATATGAACTAATTCTAGTTGTAAAATTGTCTGGTATTATGAATATTGGACACACCGTGGCAATTTATGTCTGAGACAGCTTTCTCCATTCTAGTATATGGCAAGTGTAATGCTGTTTCCTTGTTGAAAAGGAGCTGTGTCAAATCTAGTTGATGTAAGCATTTAACATTTAATAAATCCATGATTGTGAAAGTGTCTTGATGATTTTGAAAAAAAAGCTGATTGTCGTGTTGTGAATGTAGTTAGACATTCAGGTGAATGCATGTTACATGTAGTGCTTTAGAAAATTTTTCTTTGATCAGTGAGAATGAGAGAGACAAGTATATTTTGTATGTGTAAAGTACCATTTTCAAACTCCCATGTTTTCATAGTTCATTAAAGGAAATAAGACCAAACATTTTTTTCTTCAATTTTAATGAATACTGGGAAAATTCAATAATTATATAAATTTCTACCAAAAAAAGGATGCAAACTGTTGTTTGACATCAGGATGAAATACCAAAATCAAGGAATAGCCAGCATGAATTGGAATGTGATAGTTAAAAATTGTGGCTTTATAATTATTTAGTCACTGTTTTTAGTCAAAATCTATCTTAAAGGTGTATGCATACTTCTATTACCCCAAAAGATTTGGGAAAGAAAAACTTGTAAGCACCGCAAGAAAGAAAATCTCCATTTATATTAAATAAATATTTTGACTCTCCATTTGATTGTATACAGTAAAATCTGTGTTCCAATTTTCCGGGGGGAGCATAAAATGTAAACTGAAGACGTTAGTGTTTTTAAACTGTGTAGACCAACTGGATTGGAGGTCTATGGAACACTCATACAAGCTTGAGCAGATATACCAAAGATATTGAACGTTATTTCAGATTTTTTTTTTGTTGTTCATTCTGCTAAATATGTCATTTTGCAATTTTATTACTTTTTTCTCAGATTTCACAAACTGTCGCAGCACAAGAGCAGATAGCGATATTAAACTCATATTTTTTATTGATAAAAGATCAAATCACTCTCTTTGGTAAAGTTATAGCGAAAGTCAGAATTCGGATACATCTATAACAATCAGCTCTCTATGATGATATTTTCCTTGATCCCTGTTCTGGATATGGTATTTCAGTTGCCTGCCATCTTCGTAAATGATGTATTACACTGTAGTCGTGTTATTGTTAACTTTTCTCTATTTTTGTAATTAAACAAATTTAAATATTTGGACTATGTCTTGTTCTGGCGGTCATCTGGCATTTGTCAATTTAGCATTCATTTCTTGTCACTTCTCTCATTTCTGACAATGTTATATAAAAATAATGACCAACAGAAGGGATGTGACCATACAGAAATTAAAATTTGGTTTGCATTCTTATTCTTTGTGAAGTAACTCTCAATTAAAAAAAAAGGGAGTTGATTTTCTGTGAGTTATTATACGTAAAACACGTCCAAGTTCTTGTTAAAAACTATTAGAAATTATTAAAGTGTGTAAATTTTAAATTGCCAAAATCTTAAAGACGATGATAATGCAATTAGAGAACTTATTTGATTATTATATACAAACTAAACTACCATGCAGTCAAATGTTTTTGTTTTCTGTACCTGTGAATACAATATAAACTTAATTAATTTTTTTTAGAGATTTACACGTTACAGTGAGACAACTTGATCAAATCAGAAGAGTGTAAACAAACATGATTACTGTGTAAAATGTCTTCCTTTGGACTTTGACCGATGACTCAGAGAAAGAGATTGTTATTTACATAATCCTGCAGAAATCTGTGCAATATATTCATTATTTTTTTTTAAGATAATAGAAATTTTGCTTTTGTCCATTGTTGTCTCTGATCCGACACATATTTTGGGTTTCCCATTGCAACCCATGGACATTGCCATTCTTTCTATAATACTGACGTGAAACATATGGAGATAACGAATAGTATTCAAGATGAAAAGTCCATAAAACAATACAAAATAGGAGGAGAGCTAAACGTAGAGGTGGGATCAGGTGCCATGGAGGAATAAGCATACCCTGCCGACCAGTCACACCCCTCGTGTGCTCCTTGTCATGATCGTGAAATAACAGCTCTCTAATGGTGTATATTTTCCAATTAGTATGAAAAATGCCAGTCACAAGATTTTACCAAAATCAACAGCTTAAAACACTAAATGAGTTTTCAATTTTATACACAACTATTCCCCACGATAAATTAAAGTCCAGCCTTTTCGATATCATTAACAGCTGCTTTTTCAATAAAAATGGAACTTGAAAATTTACTTAACTTTTCTTGGTCATAAAATTTTTTGTTAAAAACAAATTTAAATATTTGGACTGTGTCTTAGTTTCTGATTGACAATATCTATGTCCTTTTTGTAGACTAGTTCTTCAACATTCTTTTGGAATTCCCATGGGTACCACATTGTGCCCCGTTATTAGCAGATCTATTTTTGTATTCATATGAAGCAAAAAATCTTATGCGTGAAAAGAAGAAAACACTTGCTGTGGCCTTCAACTCGACATTTAGATATATCGATGACGTACTGTCAATTAACAATGTTTTTTTTTCTAATCTTATGTAGATACGATATATCCTGGTGAGCTTGAGATAAGAGATACCACAGAGTTTGACACACCTGTTTCATATTTAGATGTTTTACTTGGAAAAGACGCTAATGGTAATCTAACAATCAAGTTGTATGATAAACGTGATGACTTTAACTTTTCTAGAAATTACTTACTTATGCAGCAATATAATTTGATCACCTGCATACAGTTTACATATCTCAGTTTATTAGATACGCAAGAGCATGCTGTACGTATGAACAATTTTTACAAGGAGGTAAATTAATGACAAACAAGTTGATGAAACAAGAATTTCAGCAGCAGGCTCGTTTAAAGTCATAATTTCGTAAGTTCTATGGTCGATACAATGACCTTATCAACAAATAAAATTTATCATTAAGTCAAATGCTGGCTGACATTTTTCATACTAATTGTTAGTCCATTATTTATACACTGACATTGTGTACTTCCTATTTCATTTTTTGGCCTGACACTTATTTCGGGTCTCTCAAAGTAAAACGTGGATTTTACCATTATAATCATATAGGAGGCGGGGGTATCATTTAGTGAGCTCAGTGCTCACAATATAGTACCTCTAGATTCATTTACAAAAAAAGAGATTGTAAAAATAAACATAGGTAATCAAAGATTCGAAGCTCACCTCGACGAATATTATCAGTGTAAGTAATGCAAATCTCACATCATATTTTCTTAATATCTAGTATTTATCCCAACAACAATATTCTTGCAAGTTGTGTTTAACCTCTTGCAGGGCATATACACATTTCTACTCATGTAGCGTGAAAACATGTATAGTGTAAACAAATATCCATCAATTTGTTAATACTGCAGATATCAAGGTTCAAGTTCATTGGGATTAATCTGTTCCCAAAACTTTAACCTGGTCTCTTGTATGAAAAATATAGGTCAGATCCAGCATCCCAAGCAAGTCTGGTAGTGTCCATCCCTAGATGCATCATCCATGCAAGTTTGGTTCGGGTATTTATAATTCCTTGATATAAGATTAGCATCCGATCTGGTATGTCCATCCCTAGATGCATCATCTATGCAAGATTGGTTCAGGTAGGGCTTATAGTTACTTGGGAATGAAAATGTAGGTCAGATCAAGCATCTGAAGCAAGTCTGGTAGTGTCCATCCCTAGATGCATCATCCCTGCAAGTTTGGTTCAGGTAGGTCTTATAGTTCCTTGGGAATGAAAATGTAGGTCAGATCCAGCATCCGAAGCAAGTCTGGTAGTGTCCATCCCTAGATGCATCATCCATGCAAGTTTGATTTGCGTAGGTCTTATAGTTCCTTGGGAATGAAAATGTAGGTCAGATCCAGCATCCGAAGCAAGTCTGGTAGTGTCCATCCCTAGATGCATCATCCATGCAAGTTTGGTTTGGGTACTGCCATTCTTGGACCTGCTCCAAAAACTTTAACCTGGTCACTCATCTGGAAAATGTAGGTCAGGGTAGCAACCAAGTATGGTAGTGTCCATTCCTAGATGCATCATCCATGCAAGTTTGGTCTGGGTAGGGCTTATACTTAATTGGGAATGGACCTGCTCCAAAAACTTTAACCTGGTCACTCATCCTGGGAATGGACCTGCTCCAAAAACTTTAACCTGGTCACTCATCTTGTATCACACAAGTCTGGTAGTGCCATCCCTGTGTCATCCATGCAAGTCTGGTCCGGGTAGGGCTTATTGTTTTTGGACCTGCTCCAAAAACCTTAACCTTGTCACTCTCTCAAAATGTAAAGATCCAGCATCCGAAGCAAGTCTGGTAGTGTACATCCCTAGATGCATCATCCATGCAAGTTCTGGTTCAGGTAGGGCTTATAGTTACTTAGGAATGGACTTGCTCCTAAAACTTTAACCTAGATTCATTTACAAACGCCGGGGGTAAAAAAACTTCGTAAAAATAAAAAGTAAAAGATGTAAATTGACCGTGTTCTCGGGCAAAGTGTATTTTGTGAACATGTGTGCTTTCTACCTGACTTCTCTTAGGCAGTATGCGTGGATTACTGGGTTCGACAACAGGTCCTCTTTCATGACAGCATACGAGCATGATATACATCTTAGTCTTCAATATTAAACTACTGTAATAGTGCTAAACACTAATTAAGTTCTTACAAAATGAGCATGATTGAAAAAAAAAGCTGACGTACGCTGTCCAAGTCCTTGGGACAGTACGCTAGAATTATAATAAATACAGGTCGGTTGTAGTCCTCAATATAGAATGCGTGGAACAATTCAAGACACAATATATACCAGACAGTGTGGGTAGTAATTTATATATAAAAAAACAACACTGTAGAAGACAAAGACCTGAAATGGAATTCTCTGTCTTTCCTAAAGACAGAATTTGCGAAGAAAACAGGACTTTCCATGTCCTTGAATCATTATGCTTGACTCAATAATATATCACAAATTGTCTGCAAAACAGTATGCGTCCATGGATAACAAAGAAATTGGAGAAATACAGAGAAGTTCTGAAAACGGAATGAATATGTATGAAGAATATAACTCACTAAGCCAAAAGAAAGTAAACATGATTTACCTAAACAGGTAACTAGAAAGGCCACATGACAGTTTGCAGCAAAAATTCTTGAGATGAAATGCGTGAAAAATGAAAAGCGTGCTTTATGTTCCTCAGTCCACACACAAGCTTGAACCACAATTATGCAGGATAGTGTCAACTGTACCAATATTGTAGTCATCATACAAGACATAATCAAAACATCACAGGATCCTCTTAATTTTTTAGGACAATAAACACGTGAGTTGCACATAACGACGCGATTTAAAAACAGCTTCCATGGATAAATACAGGGACAAATGGAAGATATCAGGCCTCAATACAATAGACGAATAGTGTGCGTAAATGCTACAGTGTTCTCGCCAGGTTATACGAGACAGGAAGCATGAATCTTTTTTTAAAAGGACACAGTGGCAGTGGAGAGTCCTATATTTTTCATGTTCAAACTGGTTAAAAGAAAATTGTCTCCAAATGTTTATTTTTGCCAGCCCTGACTTGAACATGTCAAGGGATTGGGCTTTTATGAGTCATGTGGTTAGGTGTTCCACAGGCGGATCTCAGTTGGTAAAAAAAAGATCCCTTAAAAGTGTCTTTTCTGGCATAAGGGATCTGCAGTCGGTGTTGCTGGTCTCTAATAGCAGCACCAATAGGATGGAAGAGGTTACAATGGAGTGCAAGATCTAGTCAACACCGCTTTTGCTGCTTGTCTGCGTTGTTGTATTGGTTCCAATCCCAGCTGCTGAATCATTGTAGTCTGGTAATCAGCAAGCAATTACCTTCAAGCATTGTACACTTTCCAACTTCTTAATGTTGCTCTGGGTAAAGCCATATAGTACAATATTTCACTGTTTAGCAAATCCCCTTGGTTTTCAAGGGACATGATTTAATTATTTCTCTGGAGAAAGGTTGTGGTGAAGTTTGTCTTCTTACACACCTGGTCTGTGTGGTAGTTTCAACTTAGTTTGTTGGTTATGGTTACATCCAGGTACTTGGGTTTGCTGGTGAAATTTATGACCTGGTTGCGTACATGTTCTTTCCCATGATGATTTTCCTTTTCCATGTGAGATGATTGACCCTGCATTTTCCAGGATTCAATTCCATTAACTAATTTCTTTCCCAT